GCCACCCGCACAGCGGCCGCGGGGCCCCGGCCGAGCCGCCCTTGCAGGGACCGGCCCGTGGCCCCGGGCGCGGGCACGGGGGAGGGCAGGGGGCTGCGGCCTGGGGGCTGGGGACGGCTGTGTGTGAGTGTGCACGCAGCGGCTGTAGTGTGTGTGTGTGTGTGTGTGTGTGTGTGCATGCAGCGGCTGTGCGTGTGTGTGCATGCACGGGTGTGTGCGTGCGTGCAGCGGCTGTGCGTGTGCACGCACGGCTGTGTGTGTGTGCATGCACGGGGGTACGTGTGTGTGTACATGCATGGCTGTGCGTGCGGGCACTCGGGGGGGGGGGTCTGCGTGCATCGCAGCGGGGGGTGCGTGTCCGTGTGTCCAGGCGCGCGTGTCTGTGCACGCGTGTCCCCGCGGGGGAGGCGTCCCCATTAGCGCCGCTCTGTGTATCCTGGCGGCTGCGCTTGGCCGGGGCTCTGTTTGTGTCTCCCCGTGTGGGGGTGTTTGGCTGGAGCTCCGTGCGTGTCTCCGAGCGGGGATCCGGGTGCGCAGGGGATCCTGCTGCGTGTCCCTGTGTCTCCGTGTGCAGCCGGCCCCTTGGCGTGTCGCGCTGCTCGTCTACAGCACCTTGCTGGCACTGAGCGCCCCGGTGCTGATGCAGCTGCGGGTGCCCAGCCTGGCGCGCGGTGCCATCGTGGGCACCCAGGCTGGACCAGCGCCGGCCGGGAGGGCTGTGGTGCCGGCCCCATCCTTCCAGTCCTCCCAGGGAATGCTGCTTCCCGGCTGCTGCTCCCGCTTGTGCAGGGGTGTCCCCTACCCTGTGTGCCTAGTGCCCCACAGGGCCCTGTGTCCCTGGGCCCATGCAGGGTGACATGGGGACCCCCATGCCCATGGTGTGCAGGGATGGCCTGGCCTGGCATCCTCTGTGTCCCTGGTACCGTGTAGGGTCCCCCATGTCCCTTGTGCTGTGCAGGGCCAGCACAGGGTCCCGCTATGCCGCCAGTGCCATACAGGGCTGTCCTGGGGTCTCCTGTGTCCCCGGTGCCACGCAGGGCGGCACAGGGTTCTCGTGGCCCTTGTGCTCTCGCCACCACTGTGGTGAGTGCAGGTCAAGCTGGTCCAGTCTGGCGCTCTCCAGATGCATCCGGCACCACAGACCCTGGTGGTCCCTTAGAGCCACACGGGGTACCGGGGACTGCTGGGGGTGGCCGGGTCTGGCATGTGTCCCCCCGTGCTGGGTCCCCGCTGCCTGTGGGGGACACCCCGCTGACAGCTGGGGTTGCCACAGGGACATCCAGCGGTGCCGGGGCCCTCCCCATCCTGCAATCCCGAGTCCCATTGCATCCCTGGGTGCTGCTCCCGCCTCCCCTCAGGATCGCATCCTTCCCGCCTGGCAGCGGCACGTGCATCCATATGGATAGCGCTCCAGCCCGGGAGCCGGCGAGGCCGCGGTCCTGGCAGAGCAGCCTCCAGGCACCCCAGCACCCCGTGCAGCACCCGTTCCCGAGCACGGCCCCGGCACTGCCCCCGCTCTGGGCTTGGGAACTTCGCTCCGTCACCTGGACGAGCTCCCATTCCTGTGGGGTTTAGAAACGCGATTTTAAAAATCCCTGCGTGACTTAGCGCGGGTTGCTATGGGGACGTGGGGCGGCCCCGCACTCGCGCCCGCCGGCCGCAGCACCCGGCGCTGCCTCCAACTTGTGCGGCCCGGGCGCAGGGTTTGGCAGGCGCCGTCCCGCCCGCTCCCCTCCTCCCGCCCGGCTCCCTCCGGGAACCCCGGTGACTTGGCGTTTTCCGGGGCGGCTCCGGTGCTCCGGTGGCTCCCGCGGCACTGCCGGCCGCATGGGGCCCGGGGCCGTCCCGGACAGGGCCGGTCCGGTGCCCGTGGTGCCGCCCGCTGCGGCGCAGCCCTCGCTCCCCGCTCCGTGCCTCCGTGCGGCTGCCCTTTCATTCCGCTTTCCCCTTTCCGCTGCTTCTGATTGCATTAATAATCTCCGATAACAGTGGCTAATAAACCCGGGCCTACACGGTGCAGATGCGAAGCCTCTTGGACGTTTGACCGCTCAATTCCCAGGCGAGCGAAGGCTGCCCATGGGCTGAGGGTCCCCGCGGGGCTGCCCCCTCCCTGGGGACCCGCTGCGGCCCCCGGGGCCAGCGGCGCGGTGCCGATGCTGCTGTGCTTGGTGCTGCGTCAGCGTTTTGGGCAAACTTCTCGGGGTGAGGAGCCTCCTGGGAAGCCCCGCTCCGCTCGGGCACTTGGCAGCGGCGCCTGCCAGGCCTCCTGCCGGGGGGACACCCAGTGCCGCATTTTCCCGCACCCCTGTGCGTGCGGAGCGGTGCCGTGGCCCCCGCGCCCGGCCCCAGCGCTGCCCTGCGCCCGGGAGCACGGGGAATGTGGGCCAGCGGCTCCCGGCCGGAGGCTCCCCGGCTGCCCTGGATTCCCGCTGGCTCCGCCTGGCCTGACCCCAATTAGCCCCTCGGCAGCCGCGCGGGGCTGGGGCCGGGCGCGGGTCCCGCGGGTGTCCCGCTCCCCCTCGCCGGTTCCTGTAGCCAGGCTGGCGTCTGGCTCCTCTCCGCGCTCTGCCCGCGCTCCGTTAACTCCTCCCTGCCCGGCCGCGCCGGGAGCAGCCCCGGGGCCGGCAGCAGCTCCGGGAGCAGACAGAGGGTTCCTGCAGGATGCAGCCCAGGGGGGCCGAGCGCCGCTGACTTCCCTGCTGCACTCGCCAGGCCAGCTGCTGCACGGGGCCCCGGCAGCAGAGCTGCAACCAAGTGGCTGCATCTGCATGAGTTGCCTGTGAAGCTCTTCCTCTTCCTCATGCTGGGGCACAGTGGGGCAAGGGTGGTGCATGCAAAGCATGCAGGGCCAGAATGGTGCATGCATGCTGTGCTGGGCTGGGATGGTGCATGCCTGGTAGGCATGGCCAGGGTGGTGCATGGCCGGGATGGTGCATGCACGGCGTGCAGGGTGGGATGGTGCACACACAGTGCGCTGAGGCCAGCGTGGTGCTGGCCCCAACATTGAGTTGGGGCTGGAATGGTGCATGCAGAGGGCCAGGATGGTGCATGCACAGCGTGTAGCGCTGGGATGGTGCATATATGACATGCTGGGGCCAGGGTAGTGTATGCACGGCATGCAGGCCCGGGACGGTGCATGTGCAGTGCCCAGGACTGCAGTGGTGCATGCACAGTCCTGGGGCCAGGGTGGTGCATGCATGGGGCTGGGGCCGGCATGGTGCATGCATGGCCCAGTGCCACCCTCGCTGCACTGCAGACTCCCCTCGCCTGGCGGGATGTGGGGCTCTACCCAGGGCACAGGCAGCCCTGGTAAACCAGCCGCTGGTGTCAGGCCAGAAGGGATCTTTAAGCCCTAATGAAATGTTAATAGTATTTTCCAACCCAGGCCGGGAGCAGAAAATGAGGTGTTTAACATCGGGCTCCGCAGTGACAGCAGCAATCAGCCTGAAAAATGGGCACTGGGGCTGCGGCGCCCGCGGCCGCGCATCCCGCCGGGCGCTGCTGCTGCAACGGGATGAAGCCCGCGTGGCTCCAGGGGCCGTTCCCGGCGGGACGCGGGGTGCTGGGCCGGGCCGCGAGCGGCAGGAGGGGAGCACTTGCCCTGCCCTGGGTCTCCTTGGGCCTCGCCAGCAAGGTCGCTGCCGCCGGGCTGATGCGAAGCCAAGCGATTAGGGCAGGGATTGAGGCGGCCGTGCCTGCGGTGCCGCGGGGTTGCCAGATGTGCCCGATGTGCCACCAGCGCTGCCTTCCCGGCACCACGCGGCTCCGCTCTGCCCGCCTGTCCCGTGCATCCAGGCACATCCCTGTGCCCGGGTGCATCCATGCACATCTGTGTGCTGTGCACATCCCTGTGCCAGCGTGCATCCCTAGGCCTGCGTGTGCTCGGGTGCCTGTGTGCATCCCTGCGCCCATGTGATTCAATGTGAATCTCTGTGCCTGTGCATCCATGTGTGTCCGCGTGCACATCCCTGCGTCCATAGGCATCCATGTGCATCCCTGTATCCGCGCACAGCCCTGTGCCGGCGCCTGGCTCCTCCTTCAGCAGCGCCGGCTCCGCGGCGGGCGGGCGGGCGCTGGGGCCGTGGTGCGGCCGGCCGGTCCCTTCCGGCCGCGGGAGCCGGGAGCGGCGCCGCCTCCTGCCGCGGCCTGCGGAGCCGCCCGAGCGGAGCGCACAAAGCGGCGCCGGCGCCGCTCCTGCATTGCAGCTGGGCTGTTTACAGCGCTGCGCCGCCGCTCCGCGCCGCGGCCCCCTTCCAGCCTGCACAAATCCCGGGATTGCCTCTGGCTAAGCCCTCGCGGCCCGGCTCCCTGGCAGGGAAGGGGCTGGCGGCCCCGTGAGGCCCCCGCCGGCCTCCTCGCCCTGCTGGGGACGCGGTGCCTGGAGCGCTGCCACCAACAGGGTCCCCAAGCCAGGGCTGCAGCCCAGAGCTCAGCTGGGGCCCTGGGGCAGCGCTTGCTGCCCCGTTGACTCCTTGGGCTCCCTGTGCCAGGGCAGCACGGGCACCCAGGGGTGCTGTGCCCCATCCCTTGCTCCAGTTCAGAAAGTCTGCTTTCAGATGCCTTTAGAAAGGGGATCCAAAGTGGCAGCGCTGTGCTGGGCAGCCCGTGTCTGGGTGCGGTGGTCAGGGCTGTGCTCAGCGGTGCTGGAGGGGATGTGCAGCTATGGTGCTGGGGTCTGTGTCCAGCTGCCAGCGTGCCCAACTGGGGTACAAGGGGTCATCCAGCTGTGGCATGTACCCAGCAGTGGCAGCGGGGTGCAGGCCATGCATGCATGGGGCTGGGATGGCTGCAGGCTGCGTGGGCGCTGCTGCAGCAGCTCTGTGCTCCTGCGTCCCCTTGTTCCCCTCCTGGGTGTCCCTGGGGTCCCGCTGCCCCTGCCTTTGTGGTGGCTCTGCGGCCAGGGCTGCAGCCGGTGCCGCCGTCCGGGCTGTGGGGCAGCTGCGGATCCGCGCGCCGCGCCAGCGCCCTGAGCCTCCCTGCATTATTTATACAGTCAAAATTGATCATCAGATGCTAATGGCTTTATTAGCAGCGCAGCGCGGCGCGGGCTCCTTGCTTGGCATGACCTTGGCTGCAGCAGGAGAGGCCTTTCCCTGCCGGACACCTGCCGGGAAGGGCTCCCTGAGCTGCCAGCCGGGTGCTCCCCACCCGGATCCCCTGTGGATCCCGGGCAGCATCCGAGGGGCCACCCGAGAGGGGACAGCATGACAGGCGTGCCAGGAGTGCCCCCATCGCCAGGGACCCCGCGAGGTGCCAGGGTGGATGGGCAGCGCGGCCCCACAGTGGGCACCAGGCTCCCCTCTCCGCGCCGGCTGGGCAGGAAACGCTGCGGCTCTCGGCGGGCTCCTCCTGCAACGAGAGCATTCGGCACCCGTTGTTTGCGTGGCGCTCGCCTGCAAGGATATAATTAAGAGCAGCTATTTTTGATGCTTCCTTTATCTGGCAGCTCCCAGCGATGCTGTTGCAGGATCCCCCCCTCTCCCACAGAAAGAGGCGCCGGCTCCGGCGCGGCCGCCGGCTCCGCGGCGCGGGAGCGCGGTGCTGGTGGGAACGTGGTGCTGGAGCCAGGCGCCCGGCAGCCTGGGGGTCCTGCGTGTCCCGTCCTGGCCACTCCACAGCCCTGAGCGGGTGAAGCTGGGCAGGGACCCAGGCGTCCTGCTGCCCTCGGGCTCCGGAGCGGGCTCATTTCCAGGACCTGGGGGTCGGTACCATCCCGGGGGTCCGGCTGCCCCCAGACCCTGCTCTGGGGAGCGGGACGGGCTCTGGCGGCAGGACCTGCCCGCGGCAGACGCTGTTTGGAGCAGGTGTCTGCAGCAGATGTCTGTGTCGCTGTGCGCGCGCAGCCTTCCCCAGCGTCACCGGAGCCCTGCGCTCCCCGTGCGCGATGCAGCCCCCGATGTGCCGCGTCCCTGGCACGGTGCAGCAGCAATGCAGCTCCAGTGGCTCCAGCTGCAGCTCCTGCAGTGCTGGGTGCAGTGTCCCGCCATTGCAGCCAGTGCTGCAGGTACCAGCAGTGGGGCAAGGCGAGGCGGGAGCCAGCAGTTCCCGAGCTCCCGGGGAGCTGCTGGCTGCTCACATGGCCCCTTTCCTCGAGTGCTCGAGTCCCAGCTGGCACCGGCTGTCCCTGTCCCTAGCTGCCATCAGTAGGTTTCAGAATCAACGCCAGCTGGAGCGGAGGGGCCAGTTACTGGCTCTGCTGAGGCAGCCTCGAGGGACAGGGGCTGCAGGTTGGGCTGGCTCCGTGACCCGGCAGCACCGGGAGCCAAACGGGGCTGGGGCTGCGCGCTCGGGTCTAGCGGATCTGTAGGAGAGGGGCCAGGCGCAGGGCCCGGGCTTTTCCTGGGAAGTGTCTCTGTGGGAAGCTCCCCGTCCTGGCCACTCGTCCATCGTGCAACTCGGGCGGCCAGCAGCGGCGTCCCCATGGAGCCGCGTCCCCGATTTTGTTACAAAGCAGCCACTTTGGGGTTTAAACGGGAGATAATTAGTAGCTGCTGGTTGGGAAATGAATGTTTAATAACCCATTGCTCGGCGCTGCGGCCCGTGCGCGCGGCCGCGTGGGAGCGTCGCGCTGGAGCGCGGCCGGGCGGAAGCGCCGCTCAAAGGCCCTTTGTGGGGGCTGGCAGGCGCCGCGGCCCGCGGGGGGGTCCCGTCCTGCCCCCGCCGCCTGCGGGACCGCGCCCGCACACCCAGTGTCCCCATGCCCAGGTGGTGCCACGGGGCACCCCGGGGTGTCGCGTCCCGAGTGCCGGGACCCCGCGGTGCCCGGAGCGCCTGCATGCGCCGGGCGCGGGGCCGGTGCTGCCCGTGCCTGCGGCAGCGCCCGGCCGCGGCGCCGCCTCATCTGCATGCAGGCAGCCCCTCTCCGCCGCCGGCGCCTTGCGCCTCCCGGACGGGAATTTAAAATTCAATCAGGGCCCCGCGCGCTCCAAGCGGCTCTAATTAAGCGCAGGCTCGTTTGCAGCGGCGCCGGCTTCCGTTGCTGCCCTTTGCTGCTGCCGTTGCTCCGCGGCAGCTCCGGCCCCGTGGGCTGGGGGCTGCTCGGGACGCGGGACCCGCCGACCCGCTCGGTGCCTGGCTCCAGGCTCAGCCCTGCAGACGCCAGCCCCGCGCCGCTGCGCCCTTCGGCCTCCCTCCTCCTCCTCCAGGATGTAGGGTTGCCATGGTGACCAGCGGATGCCTGCGAGGATGCAGGGCGGGATGCGGGCCAGTGGCAGCGCCAGCGTGGGGCCGCTGCGCCCTGGACACGGGGCCCTGCTCGGCCCACTCCTGCGCCCTGCGCTCGCTTCCCGGGATGTGGCGCGGTGCAGCCGGGAAGCCCCGGTCCCGGCAGGGAGGATCGGGCACAATCCGGGTTGCCTCTCGGCTGGGTGAGCAGGACCTTGGTCCGGAGCGGAGCCGCTGCTGTTTGTCCTGGGGTGGGTTCTTGCATGTGGATGGGAATTTAGGAGACCTTAGCCCATGTGGCGGGGGTGGACGAGTCCTGCTGCCCCTTCCCCTGTCTGAACCTGCAGGAGGGTCATGGGGTGCCCCATGGCCCAGCACGAGGCAGTGGGTCCCAACGCTGCCCCCTGTCCCGTGTCCATCCCCTCCCTGACCCCCTTCTTCCTTCTTCCCTTTCCCAGAGCTCCTCGGATCAGCAAAGAAAGTCAACGTCAACTTCCAAGACACCGACGGGTAAGTGAGGAACGCGGGTGCCGCAGGCTGCAGCGAGCAGCAGCGCGGGTGCCGTGTTGGAGCGGGTGCCGCTGGGCACTCCTGAGCAGTGTGCAGCAGGCAGGGACACGTGTGCCCTCGGTTGTGTGCGCAGCGGGCAGGCGTGCAAAGCAGGCAGCATGCGCCACGGTGAGCGGCGGGCAGGCGCGCGGGCGCGAGCAGGCGTGTGTGTGCCGAGGTGTGCGAGGAGCAGCAGTGCACGCGAGCAGATGTGCATGAGCCGGGGCATGAAGCGAGACGGAGCTGCAGGGGAAAGGAAGCGCCGTGCGGAGCCGGCTCCATGTGTGTCCCGCTCCGCTGCAGGGCTGTGCGGGCAGCAGCACCACGGTGGAACCCGCGGGATGAGGGAGGGCCGGCCGTGACCCGCGGGGCCGCGGAGGGGCCGGCGCCTTGGGAGCGCGGCTGCGGAAAGGGCACGTGAGCGGAGGGGCCGGGCGGCTGGGAAGGGGCTGCACGTGCTGGGTCACGCAGCACGCGCTGCCGGGCGCTGTCTTGCAGCAGCCTCCCGCGGCGGCAGAGCCCGGAGCGGGGCCGTGCCAGGCGGCGGAGCGGGCGCCTCGCGGTGCCCCCGGCCTGCACGTGCGCAGGGACGCGTGTGTGCGCGCGCGGGGGCCTGCGAGCGTGCGCCTGTGCAGCTGAGCCTGCATGTGCATGTGAGCGTGCGCACTGGTGAGCACGCGTGCGCGGGAGCTGGGCCAGCCGCAGGAGGGATCCCCGGCCCCCCACACTGCAGCGGCACTGGGTGCCCGTCCTCAGTGCAGGGTCCCGCCTTCCTTGTGCACTGCTGTGCTCGCCCTGCTAGTGGGTGCTGCAGGCGAGTGGTGCACAGCTCCTGCTGCCCCATGCAGCCCTGCTGCCCTGTGAGGCTCCAGCTGCCCCACGAGGCTCCCATTGCTCTTTGTGGCTCCTGCTGCCCCATGCAGCTCCATTGCCCCATGCAGCTCCATTGCCCCATGCAGCTCATGTTGCCCCATGCAGCTCCACTGCCCTGCACAGCTCCTGCTGCCCCATGCAGCTCATGTTGCCCCATGCAGCTCCGCTGCCCCATGCAGCTCTGCTGCCCCGTGCAGCTCCTTTGCCCTGCGTGGCTCCTGTTGCCCCCTGCAGCAGCCCTGCCCTGCAGGGCCTGGGCGAGCGGCTCGGCCCTGCGCTGCAGCAGCCGCCGCGGCACCGGGGAGGGCTGCGAGTGGCAGCATCTTGAGCGGGCGCTGGAGCAGAAGGGCTGCGGTGCCCAGCGGGTGCTGGGGCGCAGGCTGCGCGGAGCTGTCCCCTGGCATCGCGGGACACGGGGACGCCCTGGCAGTGCCCAGCGGAGCCGCAGGGCAGCCCCATCCCGGTCCCGCTCCCCGCCGCTCCTCACGGCCCTGCCGGGGCTGCCGGCCGGTGCGGGCGCCGCAGCCATCTGGCCCGGCCCCCCCGCGCCCCCGCGGAAGTGGGTCAGGCGGGAGGGCGGCTGCCCGGCCGGGCCTCCCCCCGCGCACGCGGGCAGCCCCCGCTGCGGCCCCTGCCCCTGCGCCAGCCCCGGCCTCTCCCCTCGCCCCGGGCAGCCCCAGCTCCTCCGTCCCGGGGCAGCTCCAGCCTCCGCGAGCGGCTCCGGGCGCCGCTGCATCCTGGGATCACGGCACCACAGGAGGTGCTCGCTGTGCTGCTGGAGCGGCGCGCACGGAGCAGCGTCTTCTGCGGCACTTGGGGCTGCTCGGGATGCAGGGATGTCCCCGGGGGACGCAGCAATGGGGCTGGCGGGGGGCGGATGCAGCCCCTCACACGAGCATCCCCCCAGGTTCTCCGCTCTGCACCATGCGGCACTCAACGGCAACACGGAGCTCATCGCCCTGCTGCTGGAGGCGCAGGCCGCCGTGGACATCAAGGACAACAAAGGCGAGTGGCCACGGGGCCAGGGATGGGGCCAGCCTGGGCCGCGGCTGCTCCGTGCCATCCGGGATGCAGGGGATGCTGCTCCGTCCCATCCGGGATGCAGGAGATGCTGCTTCATCCCAGCTGGGAGACAGGATGGGCAGCCCCATCCCAGTTGGGATGCAGGGGATGCGGCTCTGTCCTGGCCGGGATGCGGGGTGGCTGCTCTCTCCCAAGGTCCCTGTGTCCCTCGCGGCTCCATGTCCCTGTCACTCACCTCTGCCCGCCCTGCCACCCGCAGGGATGCGGCCCTTGCACTACGCAGCCTGGCAAGGCAAGAAGGAGCCCATGAAGATGGTGCTCAAGGCGGGCTCCTCGGTGAACATCCCGTCGGACGAGGGGCAGATCCCGCTGCACCTGGCGGCGCAGCACGGGCACTACGACGTGGTACGGCGGGGGGCCGGGGCGCCGGGGGCCGCGCGCCTGCCCCCGCTCACGCTCCCTCTCGCCCGCAGTCCGAGATGCTGCTGCAGCACCAGTCCAACCCCTGCATCATGGACAACTCGGGCAAGACGCCGCTCGACTTGGCGTGCGAGTTCGGCCGGGTCGGGGTAAGTCCTGCAGGGCCGGGCCCTGCGCAAGGCAAGTCGGGCAGCGGCGGCGGGGACCGGGGGATGGTGGCACCGGAACCTGGCGCTGCCCTGGTTGTGCTGCAGCCACGTCCCGGGGCCGGGAGAGCTTGCCCGGCTGGAGCTGCTGCGGGAGGATGGGGGCCTGGCTGTTCGGAACTGCGGGGATGACGAGTCCGGAGCTGGCGGGGATGTGGGGACACTAGGGCTGGCGGGGACATGGGATCTGTGGGGACATGGGGACACCAGGCTGGTAGGGATCTGAGAGCACAGGATTAGTGGGGATGTTGGGCTGGAGGGGGACACGGGGCTGGCAAGGACATGGGGACACGGATGAGAACGTGAGGACTGCAGGATCCATGTTGTGAGAACATGAGGACACCAGGGCCAGGGGAGCAGGGACTGCGGGGATGTGGGGGACACGGGCTCCAGGGCCGCCGTGGACCGCGGTGGCCGGTGGCGCGGCAGGCAGCTGAGCTGTCTTTGCAGCCCTGCTCCGTGTGTGTTTGCTGATCCAGGTGGTCCAACTGCTCCTGAACAGCAACATGTGTGCGGCGCTGCTGGAGCCCAAGCCCGGCGACGCCACCGACCCCAACGGCACCAGCCCCCTGCACCTGGCGGCCAAGAACGGCCACATCGACATCATCCGGTGAGCGCGGGCGCGGGCCGGGCTCCCGCGCGCGCCGGCTCCCGCGCTCACGCCGTCCGCGCCGCGCAGGCTGCTGCTGCAGGCCGGCATCGACATCAACCGGCAGACCAAGGCGGGCACGGCGCTGCACGAGGCGGCCCTGTGCGGCAAGACGGACGTCGTGCGACTGCTGCTCGACGTAAGGGCCCTCCAGCGCGGCCGGGGCCGGCGGCGCTGCCGGCCCCATCCCGAGCCCTGTGCCCACCCTTGCAGAGCGGCATCAACGCCCACGTGCGCAACACCTACAACCAGACGGCTCTGGACATCGTCAACCAGTTCACCACCAGCCAGGCCAGCAAGGAGATCAAGCAGATGCTGCGGGGTGAGTGCCGGGGCGCGCGGAGCCGGGGCGGCGCGTGGCGCAGGCGTCACCAACGCGCTGCCCGCTCCGTGCCCGCAGACGCCTCCGCCGCGCTGCAGGTGCGGGCCGTCAAGGACTATTGCAACAACTACGACCTGACCAGCCTCAACGTGAAGGCCGGGGATGTCATCACGGTGAGTGGCGGCGCGGCCGCCCCGGTGCCCGCGCCGGGCCCGGCCTCACGGCGGCTCCCGCGCAGGTGCTGGAGCAGCACGCGGACGGGCGCTGGAAGGGCTGCATCCACGACAACCGCACCGGCAACGACCGCGTGGGCTACTTCCCCTCCAGCCTCGTGGAAGCCATTAGCAAGAGAACAGGCAAATACCCGCGCGCGGCGCCAGGCCCCGGCTGGGCACGCGGGGGCTCGCGGGGCACCAGCCTTGGCGCTGGCTGGCGGAGCGGGGACGGCCCCGGCAGCTGGGCTCAGTGCTGGGACCCCGTGCAGGGTGCGCCCCGTCCCGTCGCGGGGCACAGGACACACGTGTGGGCGCCGCGTGGCTTGGTGCGCGCCGCGCTGGCCAGTCCCGCTGCACGGGAGCTGCGGCGGCGGCGCCTCCGTGGCGCGGGCAGGACGCGGCAGCGGTGTGGGCTCGCGGTGCGGGCTGCGGCGCGCGGGGGTCGCAGTGCCCCTGCACCGCCCGTGCCCACGGGGCCGTCCCCGGTGTGGGGCTGGCGCGGCGGCTGCGAGCGTGTGCGGACAGCGGAGCGCAGAGCCGCTCGGTGCCAGCGGTGCCGCGGGCACAGCGGGAGCAGCGCCGGGCTCTGCCGACAGGCCCAGTGTGCAGGGCCCGCAGCCGGCTCTGCCCCGGCGCAGGGCAACTGTCCCTGCTCTGGCTCCTCCGTCAGCATCGGTCCCGGTTCCTCCACATTTCTTCGCCCTCTTCTTATGTTTGCTGCTTTTTTTTCCTTTCTTTTTTCCCTTTTTTTTTCCTTTGTTTCTTTGGTGGCGCTGAGCTTGTCGCTATTGTTTTGATTCTTTTCATTTTGTCTCTTGTTATGTTTTATTATCAGGTTCATGGGAGACTCTAACAATCCCCCAACACCAGTACCAAAAGATCCCGCTCGCGGCTCACGGGGCTGCTGTGCTAAACGGTGACGCCTCGTCCCATCCGTTCCATTCCCTGCCTCCACCTCCACCTCCACCACCACATTCCCATCAGACTCTTTTCAGTTCCTTTGGCTATCACAGGCTCTCCCCTAGCAGTGCCGACCAGCCCCGTTGCAGACAAGGTAGTTCACCGCTTGCTTCATACTTTCGATGGATTTCTTTCTTTCTCTCTTTTTTTCTTTTCTTTCCTTTTTTTTTTCTCTTTTGGTTGCTGTTGTTTTTCAATGCATATATTTATTCTTTCCTTTCTGTTTGGCTCCCCTCCCCTTTGCCTTGGTGCCTGCCGTGTGTTTGCACGCGGGTGCGTGCGTGTGCATGCTGTGTGCGTGCAGGTGTGTGCGCATGCGGATGTGTGCGTGCAGGAGGGTGCATGCCTGTGCGCGTGCATGCAGGCGCGCGCACCTGGCTGCGTGTGCATGCCAGGGGCTTCCCTCCCTTGCATCCCCTCGCCGGAGCCGCCGCAGCCCTAGCGTGGCACGCGGCTCCACGGCGGACATGTCCTGGCCCCGCTGCGGGCGGCCGGGGGCCACGCTGTGCTCCAGGCTGCTCCGTGCACCCTGCCCTGGCTCCCAGGAGGGCCCAGGCGTCCTGGCAGGGAGGTAGGGTCAAGAAACCCGGAGCCCTTGCACTGCTGCCTCTCCTGGGCGGGAAGCGGCGGCCGCATCCGTCGGGCTGTGCTCCCCTGGGAGCTGCTGCTCCGGACCGGGAGGCGCTGGGCATTGGTAGCCTGGCGAGGGGCGGCGTGGCTGGTGCCCAATGCCGGCACCATGGTGCGGGTGCGCGCGGGGCCGCCGGGACTCGGGCCGTGCCGGGAGCACGCGGTGACGCCGTGCGGCTGCGCGAGGACAGCGTGGGCTGCTCGTGCTGCGCCGCCCCGGAGCAGGGCAGGGAGAGCGCGGCTCCTCCGCCGGGGTTAACCGATGTGCGCCGGGCCCTCCTGCCGCCTCGCCCGGCGCCGGCTCCCACGGTGCCGGGCTGGCAGTGCAACCTCTGCTGAATTTATCACCTTGCAGCACTGCCCGCCGCTCACCGCGAAGCGCCTTAATGAACAAATCCAGGCACTGCAGCAGCCAGTGGAGCGCGCGGGGCTGGCCATGGCGCGCGCGGGGCCGGACCTGGGAGCGTGCAGGACTGGCTATGGGAGCGTGCGGGACTGGCTATGGGAGTGTGCGGGACTGGCTATGGGAGTGCATGGGGCCAGACATGGGATTGTGCAACACCGGCCATGGGAGTGTGCAGGGCTGTCCGTCAGAGTGCGCAGGGCCGGCCACGGGCGCGCGCAGAGCCGGACGTATGAATGTGCAGGGCCGGCTCGCTGGGGGCTGCCCTTGGTGCGGCGGCTGCCTCTACATGCAGGAGAGCTGCTCGGTGCCTGCGGTGCTCGGCCGGGACTCGCCCCCCGGCATGCCGCCCTGCACCGTGCAGCCTCTGCTGCAGCCTGGCATAGCGCGTGCCGGCAGGGAGCCCTCGTGCCGGGTACCCCCTTGCTGCGGCCGCACGGTCCCCGTGGCCGCCGGGCCCCGTCCCACGCGGTGCCGCGCGGTCGCTGCTGCCCCGTGCCCAGCGCGCCGGGGCCGGCCCGCCCAGGGGCCTCACGGCCGCTCTCTCTGCTCTGCCACCAAGGTTCCCGCGGGGCCGACGCCAGCCCGTCCCACCTGTCGCCCTCGCAGGGTGGCTCGGCCACCGCGCCGCCTCCGGCCGAGGAGATCTGGGTGCTGCGCAAGCCCTTCGCAGGTACCCGGGCGCGGGCGGGCGCGCGGCTCCTCCGCCGCTGCCGGCCGCCCTGACGCCACCGCTGCTCCCGCGCAGGCGGCGACCGGAGCAGCCTGGGCAGCACGGGCAGCGTGGCCAGCGCGCGCAGCTCGGGCAGCGGGCAGAGCGGCGGCAGCAGCGCGCACGGCCTGCACGCCGGCTCCGAGGGCGTCAAGGTAAGGAGGCTGCCGGGGCTGCCCCCTGCACGCCAGCTGCATGGGAGCAGTTTGGTGTCCCAGCAGCTGCGACAGGTCCCAGGCTGCCACCCGTGTGAGCTCGAGGGCTCGAGTACTGCATCCCTGCGCATCCCTGCCCGTCCCTGCACTTCCTTGCACATCCCTACAGGACCCTGTGCATCCCTGCACAACCCTGCTCATCTCTGCACCTGTGCATCCCTGCACTTGCTTGCATGTTCCTGCACACCTCTGCACTTTCTTGCATGTGTCTGTGTGTCCCTGCACTTGCTTGCGCATCCCTGCACACCCCTGCACTTCCTTGCACGCCCCTGTGCATCCCTGCAGATCCCTGCACGCCCTGGCACATCCCTGCTGGCCCCTTGGCTGCGCGGCACCGGCACGGCTGCCGTGCGGGGCTCTGCTGCCCCTCGGAGGGTGCCTGTCCACACTGCGCGGCGCCCTGCTCGCTGCCCGCCGCATGCAGCCCCTGCGCGCCGCGCTGCAGCGCACGTTGCCCCCCGCATGCAGCTCTCCCGCACCAGCAGGCACGGCGGGGCGCGCGCCAGGCTGCTGCGCGGAGCCGCGGCGCCCGCCGCCCGCGAGGCACCATATGTGCCGCTCGCCGCGGCGCTCCTCCCTGCCCGCCCGCGCCTCGGCTGCAGCGCGGCAGCGGCGCCGCCGCAGCCCCCGGCCCCGCGCGACGCTCCGCTCCCCCTCTGCTCCGTGTTTTTTCAGCTGCTGGCAACGGTCCTTTCCCAGAAGGCTGCCGCGCAGGAGGGCGCCGTGGGCGATGGGCCGGCCAAGGCGCAGGACGGCCCCGCAGGTGCGTGGTGCCCGGCGGCCCCGCGGCGCGCGCCGCCCGTAGCCCCGGCCCCGCCGCGCGGCCAGGGCCCCTTTTTGGTTTTTTTATTGCCACGGCACCGCTCGCCAGAAGAAAACGCGTGGGTAAAAAATGACTCTGTCGCCTTTCGGCTGCTGCCAGGCCTTCTCCTGCCTCGGTTAGTGGGGGCGCGGGGGGCGGCGGGCGCGGGGGGGGCGCTCCGGCCCGTCCTGGCCCTCCTGGCACCTCTGGGCACCCGGCCGGGCCGCCAGCACCGGGGGCTGCTGGTGCGGGGGGGCGCACGCAGGCGATGCTCACGTGGGGGTGCATGCGGGGGGATGCAGCAGGGGGATTGGGTGCACGTGGGGGGTGCACGCGTGGCGGGGGGTGCACACACAGGGAATGCACAGGCAGAGGATGCACATGCAGGGGTGCACATGTAGGGGGAGCAATGGGGGGGCTCACATGGGGGAGTGCATGAGCAGGGTGTGCATACCGGGGGGTGCCCAACGCTGTGTGTGGGGGTGCACATGCAGGGAATGCACACGTGGGAGGTGCACATGCAGTGAGGTGTCCATGGCGGGGTGCACACGCAGGAGGTGCACATGCAGGAGGGTGTACGTGGAGAGGTGCACATCAGGAGGGGGCACACTCAGGGGGTGCACATGCATGCACATGCATGGGGGTGCACGCAGCAGGAGGATGCACACGCCCTGGAGATGCACACGCAGCGGGGACACACATGCAGTGGGGAAATGGGGACACACGGGCCAGCAGGCTGCAGATGCCAGGGCAGGGGTGTGCACAGGCCAGGGATGCCCCTGCCAGGGAGGTGCACACGCAATGGGGACACACACGCAGCGGGACACACATGAATTGGGGACACACATGCAGTGGTGACACACACCCGATGGGGACGCACATGTGACGGGAACCCACGCAGAATGGGGACGCGCATGCCAGGGAGTTACCCACACGAAGGGCTCGCACACTGCAGCAAAGGCAGCCGGTTGCTCTCACAGCTCCAATGGGAAGCTGCAGGCAGGGCTTTCCAGGGAGCCCTGGGGAGCCGCTGGGGCCAGGGACGGCGGCTCTCGGGGCGCCCCGGCAGGGTGGCAGCGGTGCAGAGCGCCCTGGCCCTGGCACAGCCCCAGGAGCGGGGCCAGGCGCCTACGGGCAGGACCCCTCAGGCCGTGGCCTTGGGGGAGCCACATGGAGCTGGTGCCAAGTGCCCCCTTGCCACAAGGCGCCCAGTGCGCCCGGCCCAGCCCTGGCCGCAGGTTCCAGGTGTTCCCTCGGTGGCGACCCCGGTCCCGGCGCAGCACCACTCTGTGTCCTGTGGCGCAGGCCCCCCTGCTCACAGCTCCCTCTCCGCACCAGGCTCGTCGCGGACGCAGAGCGTGGCCAGCTCCCCGTACGCGCCGCAGCCCCCGGCCGAGCAGCAGCTGAAGAAGATGGAGTCGGTGTCGGAGGGGAAGGTCAGCGGGGCTGGGCAGAGCTGGCGGGGAGCGGGGCTGGAGGGGGGACCCGCGGGGTGGCGGGCAGTGATGCGGGGTGGCCCCTTGGTGTGTCGGCCCCGTCATGTGGTGCCCTTGCTGGGCATCGGCCCGCGCTCACCGAGCGCTCACCGAGCGGCCCGCGCTCATCCTCACCGTGCACCGTCCTCGCCGTGCACGGTCCTCGCAGCGCTGCGGCCTTGCTGTGCACCCTGCAGCCATGTGGGAGCCATGAGTCACTGTCATGAATCATCCCTGCGGCTGCCGGGGCTGCTGCCGGCTGCTCCAGCCTCCCACCGCCCCGCGATGGGCCTGTCCCCGGGCTGTGCCGCGTGGGGTGGCCCGAGCACCGTGCTGGGGTGCCCGTGCCGCGCTGCCCCTGCGGGACTCCCGGCTCCGTGCGGCCGCTGCAGCCGGCCCTGGGGCTGAGCCGTGTGCCCGCAGAGCTCGGAGGCCGTCTACCAGTGGCTGTGCAAGTTCCAGCTGCAGCTCTACGCACCCAACTTCATCAACGCCGGCTACGACATCACCACCATCAGCCGCATGACGCCGGAGGTGAGGCCGGCCCGCCGCGCCGCGCTGCGCCGGGCGTGTGGGCACTGGCCCTGACCTGCCGTCCCGCCCTAGGACCTCACGGCCATCGGTGTCACCAAGCCAGGCCACCGCAAGAAGATCGCCTCCGAGATCAACAACCTCAGCATCCCCGAGTGGCTGCCGGAGTACAAGCCGGTACGGGCCGCGCTGGCGCTGCCGCTGCCCCGCACACCCTGCACGGGGCTGCGCGGGGCGGCTCTGGCTCGCGTGGCCGCGCGTGCCCACCTGGGCTCCCGGTAGCTCCCGGGCTGGCACCAGCCGGCACCACTTGTATGTGATGCTGCCTGTCCATCCCGAGCACTCTGGCCCGGGAAGGGGGTGGAATGGGATATATGGAGTCCTGGGAGCAAAAGGGCGCCCTGGGGATGCAGAAACCCAATGGGGTCATCCTGGAGGAGATGGGACCGGGTGCACTGTGGTATTGGTGCTTGGTCCCTGTGAGGGGAGCAGCTGGTGGCAGCTTAAAACCTCTCCTCCTGTCCAGGCCAACCTGGCCCTGTGGCTCTCCATGATCGGCCTGTCCCAGTACTACAAGGTGCTGGTGGAGAACGGATATGAGAACATCGACTTCATCACGGACATCACGTGGGAGGACCTGCAGGAGATCGGCATCACCAAGCTGGGTGAGGCGCAGCCTCCCCCTGCTCCGCGGCCGTGGCCGCGGCTTGGCGTCTGCCGCCGGCCCTGGCCACGCTGCCCCTGATGCCGCCTGTCGTCCCCAGGCCACCAGAAGAAGCTGATGCTGGCGGTGAAGAAGCTGGCAGAGCTGCAGCGGGCCGAGTTTGGCAAGTACGAGTCGGGGACGCTGAAGAAGAAGGCGCCGCCGTCGTCGCAGGAGGTGTTGGCCATCGAGTCGCCGCCGCCGGAGCCGCCTGAGTGCCAGTCGCCCAAGATGACCACCTTCCAGGACAGCGAGCTCAGCAACGAGCTGCAGGTGGCCATGACGGGCGAGGGCCCCGACGAGCCCCCCGAGAAGCAGCCCAACCACGTGGCCCACGCGCGCGAGGCGCCTGGCTACCGCTCGCCCTCGGGCCGGCACGCGCCCGACAGCGCGCTGGGCAGCCGTGCCAAGCACATGAGCAGCTCGCAGGAGCTGCTGGGCGACGGCCCCAAGGCACCCAGCGCCGCCATCTCCAAGAGCCAGGAGTACCTGGCGGAGGAGGCCAAGGAGGGCACCGCGGTGCCGCCCAAGGAGGTGCGGCCGCTGCGGCACGGACACCCCGTGAAGCGCGCGAGCGTGCCGCCGGTGCCCGGCAAGCCGCGGCAGCCCCTGGCGCCCGCGCCCGCGGGGCGCTTCACGCCGCCGCAGACGCCCACGAAGCCGCGTCCCGCCTCGCCGCAGAGCCTGCTGGTGCCCCACGCCACGGCCAAGGTGAAGCCCACGCCGCAGCTGCTGCCGCCCACCGAGCGCCCCATGTCGCCGCGCTCGCTGCCGCAGTCGCCCACGCACCGCGGCTTCGCCTACGTGCTGCCGCAGCCGGCGGAGGCCGAGGGGCCGCCCGCGCTGCCCACGCCGGTACCGGTGCCGGTGCTGTGCCTGCCGCCGCCCGGCGAGGCCGAGGAGGAGCCGGGGCGGCCCAAGAAGCGGGCGCACAGCCTGAACCGCTACGCCGCCTCCGACAGCGAGCAGGAGCGCGACGAGCTGCTGGTGCCCGACGCGGGGCCCTACGCCACGGTGCAGCGCCGCGTGGGCCGCAGCCACTCGGTGCGCGCGCCCTCGGGCGCCGACAAGAACGTCAACCGCAGCCAGTCCTTCGCCGTGCGCCCCAAGAAGAAGGGGCCGCCGCCGCCGCCGCCCAAGCGCTCCAGCTCGGCCATGTCCAGCGCCAGCATGGCCGAGGACTTCCCCAAGGAGGGCGAGGGCGACGCGGCGGGCGGCGACGAGGCCGAGGCCCGGCAGGGCTACCACGAGCAGCGGCGGGCCAGTGACTTGGGGGGCAGCGTGGACACGGGCAGCGCGGGCAGCGTGAAGAGCATCGCCGCCATGCTGGAGATGTCCTCCATCGGCGGCGGCGCCCGCGCGCTCGCCCTGCAGAAGCCGCCCGGGCCGGCGCCGGCCAAGGCGCCCGACGGCTACTACCTGCAGCCGGGGCCGCCGGCGGGCAGCCCCGAGCAGGCGCGCGTGGCCACCGTCTTGGCCACGGTGAAGCACAAGGAGGCCATCGGGCTGGACGGGGAGGTGGTGAACCGGCGCCGGACCATCAGCGGCCCCGTCACCGGGCTCATCGCCGCCGCGCGCCGCGAGCGCTCCGACAGCGTCAAGTCGGACACGGGCGCCGAGGGCCCGGCGGAGCGGCCGCGGGCCGAGCGCGGGGGCCCCCCCGAGGGGCTCCCCTTCGCCGAGGAGGGGGCCCTCACCATGAAGCCGCGGCCGCGGCTCGCGGGGGTGGCGCGGCCCGAGGCGCCCGAGGGGCTGCCGCTCGCCGCCCGCCCCGGCGACCTGGCCAAGGTGGAGGCCAGCGCCACGCTCAAGCGGCGCATCCGGGCCAAGCAGAGCCAGCAGGACGGCGTCCGCTTCATCCTCACCGAGTCGGACACGGTGAAGCGCCGGCCCAAGGCCAAGGAGAAGGAGGCTGCGCCAGAGCCGTCCCCGCTCGCGCTCTACCAGAACGGCACCGGCACTGTGAAGCGGCGGCCGGGCGCCGAGGCGGCGGGCACGGAGCCGCCCTCGCCGCCCGCCGCCGGCCCCGAGCCGGCCCCGCCGCCCGCCGAGCCCAAGCGGCCCTACAAGCCGCCCGTGTCGCCCAAGCCCGTGCTGACGCAGCCCAAAGCGCCCGGCCCCGCGGCGCCCAAGAAGGTGCCCATCCCCGGCCCCGGCAGCCCAGGTAGGTGCCCGGCGGCGGTGGCGGGGTCACCGGTGCCCCCGTCACCGCCCTGCCCTACGCCCGCCGCTCTTGTCCCGCAGAGGTGAAGCGGGCGCAGGGCACGCCGCCCCCCGTGTCGCCCAAGCCGGCACCGCCCCCCACGGCGCCCAAGCCGCCCAAGCCGCACGCGGCGCTGCAGTCGGGCAGCGCGGGCTCCACGCCGTCGCCCTCGCCCGCCAAGCAGGCGGGCGCCGCGGGCGCCAAGCCCTCCAGCACGCCGCCCTCGCTCTGCTCCAGCCCTGCCAAGCCGCTCTCGCCCGCCGGCGGCCCCCAGCACGTGCCCGTGAAGCCGCCGCGCTCGGCCATGGCCGGCGCCGCCGCGGACGCCGCCAGCTCCGACATGGCGCACCAGAAGCTGGAGGAGACGAGCGCCTCGTTGGCCGCGGCGCTGCAGGCCGTGGAGGAGAAGATCAAGCAGGAGGAGGAGAGCCAGGCAGCAGAGTAAGGGGGTGGCGGGCGCGGGGACCTGCCAAGGGGCCGGGGCGCTGCTCAGACGCACGGAGGGGCCGCGGGGCAGCCACGTTATGGTCGGGCTCTGCCCATGTTCTGCTGCACGGGCACATGTTGGAGCGGGGGAATGGTGGGGACACTGTGCTGGAGGTGGCACCGTGGGGACCCTGCGCTGGGGAGCTGTGCAGGTGGGGGACCTAGCTGGGACAAGGCACCAGAGCAGCACGGCGATGGGGGACTTGGTTGGTGCATTGCAATGGAGCCACGGGGTTGGGGGACCTGGTTGGGACAGTGCAATGGGGAACCACAGGGGTGGGGGACCTGGCTGGGATGTCACGATGGAGCCACGGAGATGGGGGACCTGATTGGGACATGGTGCCAGAGCGCTCCAGGAATGGGGGATCTGGTCAGGATGTCATGATAGAACCAGAGGGAGCTGCTGGGGAAACTGTGTTGGAGAGCGCAGGGGTTGTTGGAGCGTGCGGGGGTTGTTGGGATGCTGTGGAGGGCTGCGGGGCGGCGGATGCTGGTGGCATCAGGGGCTGCAGCGAGGGGTGACGCTGGGAGCTACAGCAAGGGGTGACACTGGGGGGGGGGGGCTGCAGCGTTGGGGTGACGCGGCGCGGCGCTGACCGTCTCCGTGGCTGGCGCAGCTCCGGCGCCGAGGCCAAGAGCACCGTGAGCATCCTGGACGACATCGGCAGCATGTTCGACGACCTGGCGGACCAGCTGGACGCCATGCTGGAGTGAGGGGCGCGCGCCCCGGCCACGCTCAGGGCTCGCGGGGCCCCGCCGCACGGCCCGGCCCCACCGCACCTCCCAGCCCTCGGGGTTTGCACAAAGAAGAAGATACCTCAGGACTGTGCTCACGGGCCCGGCGCCGCGCCGGCCTCCGGCAGGACTCCACTCTGCAGAAGCAAAAAAACCACAAATGAACAAAACCACCAAGCAGCAGAAGAAACAAAGCAACACGGCCCGGGCCCAAGGCCCCCCTCTCTCCAGGTTTTGGCGGGGGGCAGCCTGGCTTTTCTTTTAGTCTCTACCTGCCACGTGGCCGGCGGGCGCAGCCGCCCCGGCGCAGCCGCCCGCCGGTGCCGTCCCGTCCCGTCCATCCCGGGGCTACCGCGGGGCCCCATGTAGCACAACTCGGCCCCCGGGCCGGCCCCGGCGCCGCCGCAGCACCGGGCGGCCGGCTGCACAAACGGACTTGCCCTTCTTTTCACTCCTTCCTTTTTTTATCACTACTACTTTTCTTTTGCTCGCTGGTGGGCGCGGGGCCGCTCGGCGGCACGGGACCCACCCCGGCGCTCGCTCGGCGGCTCCGCTGCGGGGACGGGGGATTTTGGGGTAGTTTGGGTTGAAACGGGCAGCACGAGCCCTGCTCCAGGGCGCGGGGCAGCAGAGCCCGGGCCCCGCTGCTCGCGCCCCCGGCCAGCCGCCAGTAATAAGCTATACAGAAGTATTAATTTATTGGAGGGGAAGAAAAAGAAAAGATATAAAGCAGATTTCCCCCCCACTTCCAAAAATAATAAAAAGAATAAACTTTAACAAATATATATTTAAAAGATTTAAAAATATTAGCAATTATATATAAAGCAGTTTAAAAAAAAAAAAAACAAGAGAAACTGGATTTTAGCTTGAGAAAAACTATTAGATTATACTAAGCTGTGTGTCTTGTGGCAAACTCATTCTAAGAGTAGCACAACTCTATACCTTTATCTTGTTGGACGGTACGTGCGACCAGTTCTGTTTGGGGTCTTCTGTTCCAATTGAGTGTAACTTCTTTATTTTTACACAGTTAAGAACACAAAGGATGTGCCTTGTTTTACGGAGGTTTTCGTTCACTCTTCTCCCGAAGGTGTTTCATTTCTTTTGGGGTGTCTCCAGGTTTGGGTTGCCCACTTTCCCCCCGGCGTTCGTCGCGTGCGTGCGTGTGTGGGTGTGCGTGCGCCCGCGGGCGCCGGTGCCCGTGCGCGGGCGCCGCTCGCGCGGCTCTAGCGTCCTGTGCAAAGCGGAGCCGGAGGCTGGTTCCGGCGCTTCCCTTCTGATGAATGCCTTTCTTTGCTTGTGGCTCCAAGACCAAGTGTTGCTGTTCCTTTTCTTTTCTCGAGGCGTTACAGACTGCTCTCTCTCCCGTTGTGTTCGCTGATCCAGATGTGTTTGGCACAACTTTGAAATTTCTTTAAAAAAAAACAAAAAAGACTTTAAAAATAACAAAAAAAAAAAATCACCCGCCTGAAAATATCTGTTCAAAAGAAAAAAAAATATGTATCTTAAAAAAAAATCCATAAAGTTCTACATGATGGATATATACATATATATTTTTTATGATTAAGTTATGGACTCTGTATTGTATCCCATCTGTCAAGCTATGCATCTTGGTGCTTTTCCCTGCTCTTCTGTGCTTAGATTTCACCTCTACTCGTCTTATTCTTCCTATTCTGAATAGTAGATGGCTCGTGGTGCTGTGAGAAGTTTGCTCCTATACGAAGTCTGGCAACCAATATTTAAAGAAAAACAATAAAAAAATAAAACCCTGCGAGGCTGCCACCGCTGTTTGTGACCCAAAGCCCGGGGTTGCCGCTTGCCTGTGCAAGCTGGGTGACACGGGACCGGGGTGCCGCGGGAGCCCACCTTGGTGCCAGCCCCGCTGGGGCCTCGCTGCGGGTCCGGCTGTGCCCGGGCTCTGGGGACATGGTGCTCGGGATCCTCTGGGCGCCAGGAGCGGAGGCGAGCGCTGCTCCTCGGGAGCAGCTCGTGCCCGGGGACACGGCGGGTCCCTGCGGCAGTCGCAGCAGGGCGTAGGGGTGAACGCGCCGTCCGCGCTGTCCTGGCGGCTGCTGCAGGAGGAGGCGAGGGCTGCAAGCGAGGAGCGCGCAGGGAACATCGTGGGTGCAACCCTGGACACGGGCACCAGTGCGGGGCGGCCGCTGGCAATAACTCACACTGGCCGCAACAACTCTTTCCACTTTTATTGTCAATGAAGAAATAATCAAATCTATATTACAATCTTAAAAACAGTAGAAAATGTGAGTAAAAATGCAACGGAGTCTTTTTAATGTGGAGACCATTATTACAGGGTGGTGAACCATGGACTTGTGTTACTTGATTTGAGAACTAGCTGTGGCATAAAAATCGTACCTGGTTACTCAAGAAAACACCTCTTCCCAACTGGATCAGCCTGACATTGTGGCAGTAAAATTAAATACGAGAGACAGAAAAGGGTTGGAGACCCCACCAGGCAAGGCCTAACGTTCTACCATGTACAAGGGAGCAGCAGCCCCGGGCTCAGCCCTTCCCGGCCGGCTCCTGCCTCAGTCCTGCCGCCGGCCGAGGCCGCCCGGCTCCGTGCTGGCCCCTCGCTCCCGACGACAGTCCCCGTCCGTGCGGAGGAGGGAGCTGGTGGGGAGGAAGGTTCGGCACCAGAGCAGCTTCTCTGCAGTCCCCAATAAATATGGCAGATGGGAGTGACACCTGGGCCGTGGCGGGAGCCACCCTCGGGGTCCCTGTGGTGGCACAGTGGCCACGGGAGGCCGCAGGCGGTGGCTGCCGCCGCAGTGGTGTCGTGTAGTGGTGCTAGTCCTGCAGCAGGCAGCGGAGGGAGGACGCGTTGGTCTCTCGGGGTGCAGGACCAGCGCGGGGCTCTCACTAGCACGTCCAGACCTGCGGGGAGAGACGAGAGGAGCCCGTGGCAGCGACGTGCAGAGCAGCCCCAGGGGCTTTGTTGGCTCTGCAGGCCCCTGGGGGCTTTCAGCATCCCTGCTAGGGGCTAGACCTTCTGCGATGTTTGTTCAACCCTAGCTCCTTCAATGCCCCAGTTCCAGCATGAGAAGAGACCGAACCATCAAGGAGAAGCCTGGGAAAACCAACCTTCACGGTGCTGTCCACGGCGCCGGAGAAGAGGCGGCCCCTGGAGACCGCGAGGGCCGTGACGCTGCCCTGGTGCCGCAGCAGGGTCTGCGTGCAGATCATGTTGTCCATGCTCCACACCTGCAGCACACAGGAGGCGTGAAGGAGAAGCACAGGACCCTGGCACAGACCCCAGCTCCAGGCACGGAGATGCCGAGAGCCACAGGCTTCGAGCCAGGTGACACTAACTGGACACGGGCCGGGCGGCACGCAGGGGTGAGGGCTCCCCGTCGTCCCGCTCCCTCCGGGCCACACACCCTCCCCACAAGGCCAAGGGCAGGACCCTGCTGTCTGCACCCCCCAAAGACGTACCCTGAGAGACCGGTCATAGGATGCACTGAAGACTTTGGTTTGATCCGGCGTGGAGATGACAGCGAGGGCGTAGACTGTTCCCACGTGGCCCGTCAGCGTGCGGACCTGCTCCTTTGTCTCGATATCCCAGACCTGAGGGTGCAGCACAAGGACAGTGTGGAGCTGCAGGCCGCGAGCTCCTCCTCCACAGTGCTGCCCACCGTGGCCCACATCTCCAGGATGGGCTGTGCGCCCGTGCTCTGCGTGTGCCACCAAGAGCCTGGGGGGCCCAGCCTCGCCACCCATTTTGTCCTCTCCCCCAGGCCAACGAACGCACCAAACCCACAGCACTTACATGGATGAGGTTCTCGTAGGTGCCACACACGATGTGGTGGTTTGTCACGGCGATGGAGTAGACGCTGCCTCCTGACGTCTGCAGCACGTGGACACACTCCAAGTTCCGGATGTCCCAGATCTGAAAGGGGCACCAGAGCAAAGGCAGGATGAGACCCGTGCAGGGACCCTGCTCCAGGATGGAGCTCCCTCGTTACGTTGACACTGAGACCAAGAACTGGGAGCCTCCTGGGCTGTCCTCATTGAGCACTGACACTTTTTGCTGCCTCTGGGTAGAGAATCGGTCACTTCTGCTACCAACAACCCAACCCTTCCACCCTCATGTGTGACAGTGACAAGTCTACGAAGCCACTGCCCGACTCTATCAGTGAGGGGGCAGCTTGGGTGAGTAATGGCTGCAGCCTGCTCCCTGGCACATCATTATGTGTTGGTGCCAAAAGCTGGATTAAATTCAGTAATCCCTTTCTTGGAAGCGCTGTAGAGTGAGGGGACAGGAAGTGTAGGAAGGAGTGTGGGTTCTTTCAGGAGAACTGAAGGTGTAGAAGGCTTCCCTCCAGAAGCCCTGGAGATACAATTTCAGAGCCAAGAAGCTGTTCTCCAGCCATGAAGGGAGTTAAGTTTGGCTCCATGTGTGCCCAGCTGACATCCTTAAGGACAAATCTGTCCAGCTGGGAATGTTCTAATTTAGCTGCCCAACTTTGAACGTGCAGGCTGGAAATGCTGCAGAGATTGCACACCTTGTGTGAGCGACTATACACACGTGTGCACACACAGCCTGGACGGCACTGGACACTGACGCAGGCAAAACAGCTGGGATCTGTTAACCCCGAGAAGGGAAGCGCCAGGTTCGCCGGCGCCACGCAGGTGCCGAGAGGTGAGCTATTCATCAAAGGCTGAGCCAGCACAGATGAGAGCGCGTCGGAAACCACACGCAGATTAATGGTAGCGCTGCAGCCAGACAGTGACCTTCCCTCTTATCAGCAGGCCTGTCAGTGCTGATAAGGCTGCGGCAGCTGCAGGGCGGTGCGCGGGGCCGCCTGTCCCAGGGAGCAGCCCCATGCAAGGAGCAGCCCCAGCCCGGCCTTGGAGGGCTCGGACACGTCAGCCACTGCTCTGGAGCCCCAGCAGCAGCCTCTTGTCCTGCACAACCAGAGCACGCTGCGGGACAGAGGCTTTTACGGAGCCTGCAGAGCACGGACAGCTGTCACCAGAGCGAGGGTCCCACCTTGATTGTTTGGTAGGATCCGCTGTAGAGATAGTTCTGAGAAGCCACCAGCGCTCGCACCCAGTGATTCAGACCTGTCAGCTCCTTTTTCAGCTTGAGCTCGGTACCCACAATATCCCAGACCTGTGGAAGGCACAAGCAGATACACGTAGCACACACACACGTGGGACTGGGCAGTGCTGGTGCAGAACAGGTCAGTTCTTGGATAAGAGCAGCTCCTCGGGGCTGGTCCGCCGCCCACCTCTGCACCAAGCCAGCACAAGGCCTGGCCTAGCGGAACCCTGAGCTGACTTTCCGGCCCCACGGGAACCAACTGAGCCTGTTGCCTTACACATAACGCCCCCAAATCTGTGCTGAACAAGCACGTTCCCAGAGGGGCTTGGAGCCGCACCGCCTCCTGCACAGACCCCTGTGGCCTGCAGAGCCACGGGCTGGGACACCTAAACCCGACCCGCAGAGCAGAGACCTCCCTGGCCCTGCCGCTGCCGGCGTGGGCAGGGCGCCCTTCCCACTGCTCGGGGCAGCCCAGCCGAGCCCCCGGTGCGCAGGGAAGCCCAGAGGCTCCCGCACTGCTCTTACAAACAGAGCCCCGGCCCTGCACTGCTCCGCAGGCAAATAGAGGCTGTGGATGGCAAAAATAAAGGCTCCCACCTTCTCCCCAACAGCTCTGTCTCATTGCTTTTCCAAGGCCCAAGCACCCTCCAAACAGCTGAACTACTCCAGGCCTTGGATAAAGAAAAGAGCATGCGCCCTTTTCCAAAAGGACAATCCCATCAGCTGTCTCACCAGGAGCTGGAAGCAGAAGCAAGGGAATCTGGCCAAGACTTTAAAGGGCAACTTGCAAAGCTGCTCCCTGATTTCCATACGCTTTAGGAAAAGATGCAGCTTCGAGATCCTTTGGAGGGGCTTTCAAATCAGCAGCCTAAAAACACAGCCAATTCTGCATCCCAGATCTGGATCCCAGGAACAATTCCCAATGGCCTGAGTAAGTCTGTTGGGAGCCCAAGGAAGCACAAACCCAGGCACTGCCAACACACTCCACTTGCTCTCTCAGCTTCACAGATGTATAAGACACAAGTCTTTTCACCCAGGTTCAGAACACCTCTGCCTTCAGCACTGAGCATTGGATGAAGCTCTGCAGTGCTGGCTTCTCTGTGGAGCTCAGGACAGGGAAACAACAAGGTCACCTAAGACCAAAGTGCCTTTTTCTTCCCGCCTGGGAACTGCTGCCTGAAAGCCTGACCCATCAGTCAACAAGCAGGTCAGCGGGAACCATCTCGCAGCTCTACCTTGATGGCTTTGAGAGAGCCGCTGAACAGCATGTTGTGCGAGGAGACCAAAGTGCAAACAGGATTGTCGTGTGCTCGGATCGTGTTCACTTTCTGCAGGTTTTGAATATCCCACACCTGCAAAGGAGGAGCACAGAGTCCGTGAGGGCTGGGGGCAGAGCAGGCCCCGGGTGCTGGACACCTCCGTGTTTGCTGCCGAAGGCAGAACAGGAGCAGAGTGCAGAGCAGGACAGGGCACATGGAGGGAGCTGCTGTCCTGGCCCGATTAGGCCTGGCCACCCTCCCCCAGGCCCCTCCTCACAGCACTCGCTCCCAGGGAGGACCCTTGAGGAAATCTAGCTGGAAGGAAGCACCCAAATGCAGCCCATGGGCAGCCTGGCCACAGGCCATGGACACGGTGCACGTGGGATATCATTCCCACTGCACCAGGAACTGCAGAGCTGCGCAGAAAAAGGCTGCGGGTGCCAACTCTGCAGGGGGCTGGCTGTAAATCCCACATCTCAGTCCCTGGGCTGAGCGGGGTGCAGGATACTCACAATAATGGTGCAGTCAGCAGAGCCACTGTACAGCTTGTTCCTGGAACGTCACCGAAAACAAAAGGAGGTCAGCGAGGGGCGCAGGGGCTCGCGCGTTCCCAGGCTCCGCGCCGGGCCGTGGCCGCGGCCGCACAGCCTCGCCGGCCAACGAGAGCCGGGCCGGGCCCCGAGCGGCCGCTCAGCACCCCTGCGAGCAGGGGCCACAACAGGAAGCCCAGGGAGCGGCACTTTGGGGCAAAAAATGAGTTTCACCAAGGGGTTCATGGGGTCAGGGATTTCGTGAGCACCTCGGCCTCCCAGCCCCTCCACCCTCATCCCAGTGCACATGCAACGCTGGTACACGCTGCTCTATGGAGTGAATTTTAAGGGGTGCTGAGGGGACCCTCGGGCTCTGCTCGTGACCCCCCTTCTCGGGCAGGGGCAGCTGCCAGCTCCACTCACCCCTGGATGCAGAGAGCCAGTACAATTCCATCGTGACCCTCCAAGGTCTTTTGGCACTTGTATGTGGTGCAGGTGTCCCACACCTAACAGGAAACAGGAGTGAGCGGCGGATGGGCTCACACGCGCGCTCGGGGGCAGCTGGGGGCTGCGCAGGAAGGCAGCGGAGCCCCAGGAGCACGGAACGAGGAAGGGGCCCCTTGGCCAGCACCTGCCTTCCTGCGCCCGGGCACAGAGAAGCGTGTCAGCAAAGGAGATTCACTGCAACGGGGCAGGCTGCAGATACCCAGTGACACTGAAGAGCAGCACACAGCAGAGCCCCGTCCAGCACTGCCCGCCACAGCACAGGCCCAAGGAGAACAGCACGAGACCAAAGCAGCAGCTTTGGCAATCCGCACACCGTGCCCAGGGCTCCATCGGCTCAGCTCGGGCTCCCCTGCTCCCTAGGAGCAGTCACGGGTCTCCCAGGAGAGAGACCGTGTGAACTGGGGCTTGCGGGGCTGGGCACAGCGTGTGCAGGGCACTCAGGACCGTGCGGGAAGCTGTTTTCTTGCAATAAAATATACACGCCCATTTGCTTCCATTTGTCTCTTGGTTCTCTCTCTCTCAACATAACTAACTAACTAAACCCAAGCCTTGCTGCTGGCAGGGCTGGGCACAACAGTCCTGCTCGGCTGGGGCTGCGCTCCCCACTGGCACCAGCAGCCCCACAGTGACACAGGGAACTGCTAGTCGGGTTGCACTGAAGCACTGATGTTGGTCTGAGTTACTGAAAACAGGACAAAGAAAAACAAATATGCTGTAACATGGAAAAAAATATATATATCGGGATTTTTTTCCTGAGAAGTTTTTTATAACAGGAAACTTTTTAAAAATTAGAGGCTGAAATAGGCTTAGACACCAGGCAAATTGAAAACACAAGTGGCATGAATGAGATCCTAATCAGAGCTTCACAAAAGCCACTGTTTGTCTCCTGGTATCATTACCAGATAATATTTCCTTACAGAAAAACTGAAAAATACTTTTTTTTCCCCAACTATAATTGCAAAAGCTCATTTAAAATTACAGGAGAAACTCTGGGAAGTGAAGCATCCTGGAACTGCAAAGCTCCTGTCCTACCTGGAGCACTTTCACAATGGCAAAGGACACGTGGCAGGGGTGAAGCTCTTACCTTAATGGTTTTGTCTGAAGAGCCACTGAAGAGCAAGTCTCCTATGGAGTAAACGCACAAACACCACACGGGGCCCTGGTGCCCCACAAAGGTGCCCTTGCACTTGAAGATCTGCTGAGGGTCGTAGGCTAAGGACATGAAAGGGCAGGTAAGAGTGGGAGAAGGAGCCAAGACACTGTGAGTTCAGAGAGCAGAGGTCTCCCAGCTCTGTCCTGGCAGGGCCACCTCGCTCTTTGTACTGTTTTAGTTCAGAAGGAACCATGAGACCCGTCTTGCTTGGCCACACATCCCACCCTCATAGGCCACCACCCAGTTATCACTGCTTTGAGCCCCCAGGACCTAATGCCCCTCTCAGACTGGACCTAGGGAAGGCAGAGATGCGGGACCCACCACTTCCCTTGACATCTCCTCCCAGCAGCTGATAACCCTGAAGTGCTGCAAGCCCCTCTTCAGCCACTGTTTCTGACCAAAGGTCTCCCACCAGTATTTCCTCCCTGCAACAGGGGTGATTCTATAGACACGTCACTGATGCACCCAGAGACAACTGGCACTTTGCACAATCCATGACCGAGCTTTACTGGGAAGACCATGTTCACCAGTACAACACCCCGAAACAAGCCCAAGCAAATGGAAACCATGTGCATACTCACATCCTAGGATGCCCATGTTGAGCCGAGCATTAATATGAGAAAGTTCATCCTGGAAGACAGAAGGAGCTGCATGAGCTACAGAGCCGTCCAGACTCACCTGCCCTCCTGAGCTTTAACACTGCCCCCCTCCCCTGCTGAAACCCCTCGTGCCTTTGGCTCCCTGTAAGATCTTCCCTTAGCAGCTGATTCTGGGGAGGCAACAGGACAGAGAGGCCTCCTGCCCTGGGCTGCATGTGCTCATCTCCACATCTCATATCTAATCCCTTCAGCTAGGTACACCCAGGAAAACCTTCCAGAAAATGCCACCCTTGTTCTGCCATTCACAGAATCACTAAAAATAATCACATCAGTTTTGGGGCTGCTTGTTGAGTTGGGTTCTTGGAGTCCACCTTTCTGGAGAAGAACTGGAAGGTCTTCTCACAGTTCCCTCCATTGTGACCCTTCTCATTAGTGTGCCTAGGTAAGCCAAGGCTGGCCCCTCCTCATCAGCACATCTAGGGGGATGCAGTCCACCTGAATCAGAACGAACATCTATCCAGCGTCAGTGCAGAACAATGCCCAAAACCAGGAGACATCTCTCACTCCATGCTTGTTAGTTCACCGCCATGCTTCCTCCACAGGCAGAGAGAAGAACGCGGCATTCAGAGCTAACACAAAGATACAGGAATGCCCAAGCTTTGGAGAAGAGGGCTCTCTCCTTACAGCAGATGTTCTTTGCTCTGGCTCTGCTGCTCTCAGCACGAGGCTGAGCAAAGGCAGCTGAACCAGCTAAGACAGTGCCCAGCATGCGCTTGCTGAGCTGCCTTGTGGAGCTCCACTAGCTCAGCCTAAAGGACAGCTGCACAGAGACCCCAGCTGCAGCAGGGACAAACCGGGATTGAGCAGAGCCTGCAAGGAGAGGAATCCCAAAGCCTTCCCCACCACAGGAGAAGCCTGGCCAGAGGCATGGCCAGCGGTGAACTCTGTGCAAGCCCCACTCAACAGGGGCCCACTCCCCGCTCCAAACAGGCCCGGGGCTCACGTTGAGCATGGAGGCATCCCTGCGGAACTCCATGAGGTCCTCGCTCAGCTTGCTCTGGTTCTCATCCAGCACATCTACAAGAGATGGAGAAGCCCATGTTCAGTGCAGAGTCCATCAGGGAGCCCTGAAAAGCCCAACCCTACCAAAGAGCTGTCCCTAACATGCTGATCACAGGGTTCACCAGGGCAGACTCACCAAATTTGAGCTCCAGGTTTTTCTCCAGCTGGTCAATCTTCTCTGAGAGCTTGCCCAGCATGGAGCGCAGGAAGGCAATTTCCTGGTCCTTCTGGGCCATTGCCACCTGCATCTCATGGAAGCGATCATCCGTCTGCTGCAGGAACTCCTTGAGACCCTCAAACTTGCAGGTCTCCAAGTGGGTCTCATAAGTGTCCTGATTTCCTATGAACGTACACCTGCAAGGAGGGGACACAACGCTGTCTGAAGCAGGGCTCATACCATACCACTTCTGAGAGAGGGCTCTGACGCCTGTGCAGATCCCCAGCCGTTCCACTCCTTTAGGAGGGGCAACAGCACTGCAGGTCACTGCCTGGCTGGGTGCAGGTAACTGCAGGGCAACAGAGAGCCCAAGCAGCTGCCCTCCTTCCAGCTGGGGTCCTTGCCCTAAGCCAAACTGTCTGTCCATCTGTCTAGGAAGTTGCATGGAGCAGTAGATCTTGGGCAAGAGTCAAAAAATCACGTCACTCCACGTGCTCACTGGGAGTCCCATCCAAGAGTTGTGAAAACCACCAACAGACTGCAGCTGCTTGGGCCAGCAGCATGGCAGGGAGTCAAGGCAACTCCATCAGGGCATGTCTTGCTCTGCACCTCTTCCTACGAGTCACCTCAGCTGTGCACCATGCAGGGAGCCCTTGCCTGGGCTGCACTTCTGCCTGGGGGGCAATCAACCCTCTGGGACTGATCAGCACTTCCAAGAAGGGCTGAGCTGAAAGATGGTCCTTGCATTTCTCTTGTACTCAGCCTCCTCCGTGTGGGACTTCTGCCTCATCTTTCCACTGCTCCGTTTCCCATCCAGCTGCTTTTTCTGCGTAGACATCTCACCCATTGCTTCTGCTGCCAGCAGGTTCCACAGCTGGGCACTGTGACCTACCTGTTCTTAACAAGAAGCTCAGCTTTGGTAATCCCCACAATCCTGCTTTCAGTCTCAGTCGAGTACACAGCACCAGGGAGAGCCCTTGACGTGTGGGGCTATCCCAAAGCCATAGTACCCAGAAATCAGCCCAAAATCAGCTCATTGCGTTCTTCCCAGTTCCTTACCCGTATTTGGAGTGGGGACACTTTATGTGTTCACATTCTTTGAGATGGGCCTCCAGATTCATTTTGAGGAGAGGTGGGCAGCTGGGGTTATTGGGACAGCGAACTGGCCTGTAATCACAGCTGCTTTCATGATCTCTGTCCACGGAGGAAAGCAAAAGAAGGGAAAATCAGCAGGAAGCAAAAATTATTGGAAATGACACAGATCATTAGGAGAGGGTCAAACCAGCCCCATGAGCCTGTCAGGCAATAAAAACCCTCCTGCTCTAAGGACTACAATTACAGCTTTAAGTTCTCCTTTGGCCATAACGTAGAGAGTAATGAGGCCACGTTTATGCAGGGAGCGTCTACTTCTGCGCTGATCTCTGAGCCTCCGGATCGCTCTCCACAAAAGACAACGGCTGTGGGCCACAGGTAAGAGGGCAAACGCAGGCAGGACGGGGAAGGAGGATTTTATGCCTGGGACACAACTAGATAACTCTTTTCCCACAAAAAGAATCACTAGGTCCCTGCTTGAGAAGGGCCACAGTGTTTCACTCCAGATGCAAGGTGGTTTCTTTCATAGTGCATCCCCTGTCCTGATAGGGAGGCACTTGGAGCTGTGAGCAGAGAAGAGCATCCTCTTCCTGAGCCCAGCACACTGAGAAGCAGTGGAAAGAACTGTCCCCTCCAGCCACCCTGCCTCTTCCCAGCAGAGCACTCCCGCAGGACCAGGGGAGCTGCCGTGTGCCCAGGAGCCACAGGGCAGCACAGCTACGAGCACACAGTGCGGGCAGCGCTGCCCTCTCCCCGGAGGGGCTGCCTCTGCTCAGAGGCACTTACTTCCTGGCGCTCAGTTTGATGGTGAAGGGGCAGCCGCGGGGGTCCACCTCGAAGGCCGCGGGCTTGCTGCTGGCTGCGGCCCGGCAGCCGTATTTGCAGTGAATAAAGAGCTCCCCAATCTGCTCGGCCACCGCGATGTTGTTCACCACGACGGTCAGCTTGGCGTTGTCCACGGGGCACTTCTCTGCCAGCAGGGAATACAAGGAAAAGGGGAGAGAGTCAGCGAGGGCTGAGACACTGTAGGAGCCTTGTAAAAAGTCTCTGTGCAGAGATATGCTTCTTTTTGCCTTCTCTGGCAGAGATGCCTAATTCTCTACCGGTCACAATGGGACAAGGCATGAATATTCACACACGGGCCGCCAGCTGTGTTTTGTGTCGAAGCAGGTAGACAGCTTACAGTCTACATTAATCCATGCTAACTCAAGCTAATTCTCAATGAAAGAGGACACACTAATTCAGACTACCCTGGAGTGCTGAAGTACAAGAGTATTCACAGGCAGTGACCACAAATCAGCTAATGTCCCATAACCTCTTCCCCCATCCAAGCCTTGGGCTCAGCTCCACCAGTGCCCACGAGCACACACGGATGCATCAACACAGCCCGGGGCAAAGACACAAGCTTGGAAGGCAGGAATAATACTGAGCAACCCAGGATTGCGACTCCAAAGCCTTCCGCTACAAATCCCTCGGCTGGGACTGATGCAGCACAACACGGTGACAGAAGTCAGCACGCAAAGCAGAGGGACCTTTCACACGTGAAAGACAAACACCTCGAGTAGGGAGAGCTGCTGTTTTGCCTGAGCGCTCAGGGAGCTTCCTCAGGGCTTGCTGCTCTGGTAACACCAGCTACTTGTCTTTATGCTCCCCAGTGGCTTTTCAAGATGGACAAAGGCTCGAGATTCTTGTGCCAAATAAAGCATTTTTGTAGCACAGAGTTCAAACCAAAGGGGAGCTGGTTCCGCCAGACCAGCAGGCAGACTCGTGGGCTCTGCGAGCTGCCTCACACTGAATCCGGCAGCGAGGCGGGCTGGCACTAACGGGATGGCACAGGAGTGGTGTGAGGGGTCTCTGCCAAACACAGGCTCCCGTTCCCTGGACAGGCAGCCACGGAAAGCTTCCCTTCCGGAGGCTGCTCTGTTTGCACCGCATTAGAGCTCAGGCACCTACCCAAGCCCCAGGCCCTCATCACTGCAGTGGCAGCCTGAGACATAGGGCTTGTTTCAGGATGTTCAGACACCTCTCTGCAGGTTTCTTTTTAAGAGAAAGCAAAGAAACACAAACATAAGAGCATTTTGGAGTGTGTCACACAAGAATAGCGCTGTACTCACCAGATGTTAAGGCACATCTTCTACAGAACGTGTGCTGGGGAGACAAAGAGGAGCAGCAGTGTCAGTCAGCGGTGTCACAGAAACGTGGCTACGGATGGGCCAGGGGGGAGACCCCAAACCTGTGACCCAGGGGCCCTGCTGCTGTCCTGCCTGCTTTCTAGCTCCTGTGCCACCAGCCTGGGGCACAGGACACACAGGGGCCTGCATGGCAGAGCACTGCCCTGGCAGAGACAGCTCCCACCCAGCACCAGCTCTTGAGGAACACCAAGGACATGCTTGGAAGCTCTGAGTGCTCTTCATTGCCCAGGATCAGGTACAGAACAGGGCCACCGACACGTCCTGCCACACTCATACTCCTGCCCTCGAAGCCTACATGGGTCTCCAGTGCAGAAACCTGTTACTCCTCTCATCTCCCTGCAGGGCCTCCAGTCTGGCCTCCCCACCTCATGTTTGGCCAGTCTTCTTACCACAGGTATGTAGCTCTCCTACCCTAGCTGAAGTTGGCCTGCTGTCTGTGCAATGGACAGCTGCCTTGTAGCCCTGCACTGTAAATCAGGCTAACTTAGACACCTCTATTTCCACGCTTACAGCAGAAATGTGTGGCAAAAGCTGCAATTTCAGCCTAACCTTCTAAGGACCATAAAGAAAGGAACAAAGCTGCAATATTTCACAGGTCCCAGACTTGCCCTGTGGAGCCCCGGGGCCTCCTCAGCTGCATTCCTGGGAATGGCATCAGGGCTTGGCAGCAGCGCTGGGAAGGCTGCAAGTCCCCCCTGCAGAGCTGTTATCTGCAGCCCTGCTCAGGGCTTCCTGCCCTGCACAGCTGCGCGGTGCTCTCTCCTTGCTCCCTCTGTGCTCTCTCCAGGGCTGCCAAACCAGGGCTGCAAATGAAGCCAGTCTGTTTCCTGCAGCAGAATTTCCCCCTGAATTTCCCCTAGCAAATCTCAGCATCTCTGTGAGGAGTTGGTTACTGAAATGGTGGCAGAAGAACCATCACAACACCCAGCACCTGCAGATGCAGCACTCCCAATGCAACAAACAACCCTGCTTGCTGCATGTGTTGCTACAGCTCCAGCCTAGGGACCTGCAGCACTTTACAAGCACTGCAGAGACAGAGCCACCTTCCTTCCCATGTAGCACAGAAGCAGGAATAATAAACAGTTTTGATTAAAATCCTAATCAAATGGAATATAGAAGAATATTCATAATACTCTGTGCACTTCACTAGATGATCTCAGTTCCCTTTCTAAGCATCCCACAAATTAAGCTTCGAGCCATTCCTGTTCTAAAGGAAACACTTTCCTCCCAGGTGAAGAGTGGCTGTTTCTGGGCCGGAATTGCACAGCTGCTCCCGGGAGGTGACTGAATTCTGCAGAGCCTCCAGCACAGGGAATGGGGAACTGCAAAGGCAGCTGAAGCAGCACCGGGGAGGATGATCTAGGCCAGGATAAGGAGGCTGGCAGCCCAGCCCAGCTCTGCTGGGAAGGCAGCCCAGCCTGGAGGCAGCTCCAGCCTTTGCCCTGCACCCTCTGAGCAGCCCTGCGGAAACCTGCACATTCCTACAGGACCCCGCGCCGGTCCCGGCCCCATCGAGCTCCCATGTGCTGGTCACTGGGGACAGGCAGGGCCCTTGCTCCAAGTCCCAGGGGCCATCTGTGCAGTCCCAGCTCATGACTGAGAGGTGCTTCCTTACCCCACAGGTTGTGATGACAGGGTCCTTGAACACGCTGCAGCAGAGCTGGCAGCACAGCTTCACGGACGGCTGCTCAGCAAACACCAGCGGCTCCTGAAGAGGAGGGCAGAGAGGCAGAGACAGCGCCCGGCTCAGCTGGGGCCTCCCCGTGCCCGCGCAGGGGACGCAGCCCGCGGGGGCTCAGCACGGACAGGGCGCACGGAGACTTTCATTATCTCCAAAGACACTCGGCCTGGATCTGCTGATTGCCAGGATTTATGGGGCAGGGGAGAAGCAAACTTGGGAATGGAGAGAGACCCTCAGCTCATCACAGCCCAGGGCTATTGGTGTCTGGTAGGGTCACGGTCCCTCACAACAAACTGCGAGAGCTATTTTGCTAGAAAGACTCCAGTCATCGGAACGGTGGCAGCAGCGCTGGCTGCCACGCTTTGCTCAGCCAGGCTCAACAGTGCTGCTGCAGACGTCACGGGCACTGAGCCTGAAGCCCAGAAATGGTTTTAAAACAATTTGCCCTTTGGGGTTTTTGAATCGCCCTGAAGAAGGGCTCTTTCATCTGCTGCTCCCACATGGGCCCGTCCCATGTAGCTTTTTACCAGCTAAGAGCCCTGGCTCTGGCTGCCCCCGGCACTGGGCTCCGCAGTTCGGAGATTTCCAAATCAATCCCTGTGGCTCAGGCTGCTTTTTCATCCCGTGCTGCTCGCAACGCTGCACACACAACCCTCCGAGCTCCTGCGCTTTTATCCCAGATCTGTGGCATTCCCTGTGCCCAGTCTGGGGTTAGTCACTGGGCCACAAGCTAAGCTCTGCTTGAAAGTGTCCTCCAACTACAGACAGTCACACGCAGACAATTCCTTGCACCCCCCTGGGGTTTACAATTGTGTCGTTACAATTGTGTAAACCCGTTAGAATCGTGTTTTTCTTGCCGTCTCGGGCTAGAGCAGCAGCCTAAAGCTCTGCAACTGCTGCCTGCTCTGCAGCAGAGCCGGGTCACGCACGACTGCAGACTCGCAACTTCTCCGAGAAGCAGAAGGGCTCCACCACTGTCCCCACCGTCACCACTGCCCCTTCTTTACACATGAGGAAATGGCACAGAAGGAAGCAAAGTGTCTTGCAGAACTCAGTGGTCACAACAACACTAAAAACAGATTAAACCCAAATTTAAAACCCAACTGCCAGGCTCCCAACCACCAAAGACTCAGACACTGCCCAAATCTGTCTGTGACAACTCTACATACTCAAAGCAGTTCATCAAGTTACTCCTATGACAGTGGATTTCCTAACCCTGCTCCTTGAGACAATCCCAAATACCTACTGGCTCCTCCTCTTCCTCATGGAGTGAGAACGTTGAGCGCAAGGACATGTTGGACTCGGAGTGCAGCGAGCGGACGGAGATAGCAGAGTCGGAGCGACGTGGAGTGTTGATCGGAGGCTTTGAAGAGATAAAAAACAACCCTCGTTACTGCAAGCAGGGCCCCTGCTCCAGAGGCGTGTGCACAGACCCCAGTTCCGCCGTTCCCCAGCGATCCTCGCGGGTGCCCTAGCGCCGCGCGGCCGGGAGCCCTTCTCGGGAGCGCTGGGCAGGCTGGGCGCAGCTCGGCGAGCCCGGCACCCAGCACCAGGCACCCAGTGCTCCCCAACATTCGTGTACTCACCGTGCCGCCATGCAAAGCAACCGCTTGGAAGAACTAATCCTTCACAGAAAGCTTTGAAAATCGCCCCCAGAAACAGCTACCGGGTCCCACAATTGCTACAATCCCTGCAGCAGCACTTGTTGTTCCACTCGCTATCTGCCCGCTGCCAAATTTCTTTGCGTAAGTGTGGAGACTTCCTTCTATTCAATTCAGCAAGAGCCTCGCTGTGTCGCTTCCTGTGCGCGAGGGCAGAGCCGAGCGGCTCCGCGCACCAATCCCGGCCCCTCGCAGCGCCTGCGCATCCCGGGCACTGCCCTCGCCGGGATGCTGCCCTGGGAATATTAAGCAGAGCCACATCCCGAACGTGCAACTCGGCAGAACTGCAACAAGCTCCTCACAACAAGAGGGGACCGGCTAGAAGGTTCTTCCCTACTGTCCGACCTGAGCTTCCCAAGGTGCATTTTGTGTGTTTGCCATGGATGAACGAGTGCAACGTCATCTCCAAGGACGGACAAGGCTGCAAGAAGCCAGCTAGGAAATTCAACAAGAAAAGATGCAGGGGGAACATCACAGAGCACCCTTCCTAGAGAATACACTGGAGGCCAAAGCGGTTCTTGTTGGCCTCCAGAAGACCCATCCAAGACTCCACAGGTTCTTCACGTGCCTCTGCCTTCTGGCGTTTTCCAAGCTAGTAGCTTAGAAATGCTGCATCTGCTTAGAAGCCCAAGGGTAAAACTCTTTTTTCTGCATGAAGAAGGCACGCTGGCTGACTAAACACGTAAGCCTTGAGGAGGAACGGCTGTGACAAGGTCAATCAATGTTGTGCATCTACCCACCGAATTTATTACTTCCCTCACTAGTAGCAGGAGTTATTAAAATAACCAGAGTGACGGTGCCGGAACACGTGCCCCGTTTCGGGGCAGCCGAGGCGGAGGCTCCAGCAATCCCCACCTTGAGCACACAGCCCTGCCCTTGCACACACAGCCCTGCCCTGCTTTTGGTTTCATTAGCAGCAGCTTTAGAAACAGAAGGAAGAGCAGGGGGGCAGGCCTGGGAGGGCTCTGCTGCCTCCAGCTGTCTCCGTGCTCACAAGCCTCTGGCAGCTTCTGGAGGCAGGAAGACTCAGCGATCAGGAAGGGAAATCCCGGATTATTTCTTGACAAAGCAAAGGAAGTTGCACAAAGAGGTTAGTGAGAGTTTGTCTGGGGCGCCGGCGGAGCAGGGCCGCGGCGCTTCTGCTTTGTGAGGACCTCGCGCCGCCGGCTCCAGGCTCCCCGGACCAGGCGCCACCCTGCTGGCTGTTTGTGCTTGATGCTGCTTGGCACCCAGGGGCTGTGGGCTGAGAGTGCCCAGGAGCACCGGGGCTCCCTCATTCCTGGCTGTCGTCTCGCTCTGCCACTCTGCGGCCTGCAAAGGCGTCAGGGAGCCTCGCTGCCAGACACAGCCAGGTCTAAGGCCCCGAGCTCCCCTGGCAAAGCCTCCACCTGTTTTGTTTCACCCGTCCCTCTCATGGCAGGGGCATGGTGAGCCCAGCGTTGAGTCCAGCAGCCCCGTGCTCACTGCACCGGTGCTGCAGCTCCACGGCGGCAGCGGGGCCATGCAGAGCTGCATCTGCCAAGGACGCAGGCCGCACACTCAAAGAACCTCTCGAGAAACAAGCACGTGCTCACACAAAACACAGCGAGCTCCCCAGGCAGCAGAAGGGACTTTATAGGATGCTGACGATAAACCGCTTGGCAATGTGGTATCAAATTTATTTTAAGAAGTGTGGTAGCTCCGTACTGTCACTGCCACCCGTCTCTGCCAGTGCCTCTTAATCAGCGGCCCTGATCCACTTATCCCGGGCTCAGAAGCTGCATCTCGTAACCTGATAAGCAGCCTGGCTACCCCCAACTTTACAAACACTTGCTCAATATGAAGAATCTACTCACGAGCTCAAATCTAAACTGGCACTTGTGGTTACAAGTGACTCGAGCCCTGGGACACTGGAAGATCCAGGCATCAGTGCTGCCTGTTTGCTGAGATTTGCTTTCTGGCCACTGCTCTTGATTTAACTGAATTGATTGATTAGTTGAACTTAACATAATTCATTTATCATCTTAGCTTCAGTTGATCTCTTTAAGCGGTCAACCCTCAAAGCTGCAGGATCACTAAACCCCAAAAGAGAAGTTCCTCGGAGTGTGTGAGGCAGGAAGGAGCTTTTCTGGACAGGCACAGTGGGATGGAAGGGTTTGTGTGAGGAGACTCCCTGACATAATCTCCAGATGGTCCAAAGCGCCATTTGGAGGGGAAAGCAGAAAGGATTTTCCAGTCCTGGTGGTGGGGACGGCTGCACTGCTGGGTTGGACTTTGAGCATGTACAATATTGAAGCCAGTCCAACAACGAGCCCAGCAGCACCAGCCCAGTGCCCAGGGTGCTGGGCTCCCCTGCTCCCGGGCAGGGAGGGCTGTGGGAGCACCAGGCACCTCTCCGTGGGGACAGGGACAGCGGTGCCACCCCGGAGGGGCTCCTGCAGCACCTACCATGCCATCGTCCTCGTCCCGCGGGGAGTACGTGAGCGTGCTGGAGGACGACGGCGTCCGACGATGCTGCTTGAAAGTGTTGGTCCCGTCAGCTTTAAAGCAAAGAGAAAGAACCAGTCAGGCCCTCGGAAGCACTGCCAAGCTCCAGGCCTCTCTGGAGCTCTAAGTTTTCCTTGGAAGAGACTAGGGATTCCCTCACTCCAGTTTTTGACCTGGACACATCAGTGCTGGCAGGACTGTCCCGCTCGCTGCTGGCTTGCTGGAATACACGCAAGCCTTTGAGGGTGGCTCGCCCAGAAGGGAGCCCAGACAGCATTCCACCAGGCCCTTAAGTTTAAAAAAAGATTAGGAGGAAACTTTATACTCCTGCACACCTCAGACACCCATAAAAAGATCCTTAGATCAAAGGAGGTCTGGATATTTTATAACAAGGACAGCATGCTAAGCTAAACTGGAAATATATTTATGAAGATCATATTACTGCCTTACGTTAAAATGTAAATGTAAATATCCAGGAATATCTTGAGCCTCAAGTCCTGTACAAATGTAATCCAAAACCTTCCCCCAGGCAGTTGTTCATTTCTGTATCTAAATCAGTGTTTTTTATCTTTACTAAAGTAAAAGCATTTTTATCCCAAAATGAAGCCAAACCTCTTCCTCCATCCACCCCGCCGCCAGGGCTCAGATCTCTCCCGCCTGCTGGGCTTTCAGGAAAAAAGCACCGGATTTCTAAATGAGCAGGTATACTTGCAACCCCTCCTGTCTGAGCTAAGAACAGCCATAGGGGTTTCAACCAAAGCGTCCAGTGTGATTCACATTTAGGTAGAAAGGGAAGATGGAAATTTTCAGTTCTGACAATGATTGAGCCAGAAGTCCCAGGGAGAAACAGAATTTGGGACTGAGCTGTGCAGCAAACCCTGCTGCACCATCCTGATTTCAGCACGGGCTTCCCAGTGGCACTGTAAAGACATTTCTGCACATACTCGTCTCCATCGTGCCTGGTGATCAGATGCCACGATCAAATAACGGCGGGGCCGTGGTGCTAAAGATAGCACCCGGCTGCAACGAGCACGCAGTGATTCTCCGGGAGCTGCGTGAGCGGGGAACGAACCAGCGACAGGGGCAGGACTCGGGCCCCCTCGGCGGGCAGGACAGGGGCTGCCCACCCGAGAGGCGCTCACCCTTGGTGATGGTCGTCACGGCAGAGTAGGCCGGCCCGAAGGTCGTTTCCATTCTCGTCTGAAACATGGACAGAACGATGGTCAGCGGGGAGCAGCCCAGCACAAATAAAGACCTGATACTTCACAGAATCACAGAACGGTTACGGGCGGAAGGGACCTCTAGAGATCACCTAGTCCAACCCGCCGCTCCAGCAGGGACACCCAGAGCATGTGGCACATTCCCTTGAATATACGTATATAATGCACATTCCCAAGTTTCACCTGGGAATACTGTTATTTTTAGGCAGTAGAAAGTGCCAAATTGCCAGCAGCTCTCTTTATTTTCCCTAAGGAAAGGATGAGATGAGAAGCAGCCCTGGCTCCCGCCCCTGCTCCAGGCCTTACCCCGTTAGTGTTTTCCTGAGCAGCGATGGTTGTTGTGCCACTGGAGAAACGATTGTAGCGACTGCTCTTGCTTGAGCTCATAATCCAGCCCAGCACTTGTTAGTCATGGGAAGTCGGCTCTGCGGGAAGACAGAAAGGGAGCGTGAGGCGTCGCAGGCACCGTCCCGCGCAGGCAGCTCCGAATGCCCCGGTGCTCCCCGAGCATCATTACCCAAAGCCACACGAGCCTGGGCTTCCTGAGGCAGCCAGCAAGCCAGAGGCAGGTCCCTCCAAACCATCCTGGGGTGAGTGCTCAGCATATTTAATGTGATCAGGTATCTTTTAAAACAACAGCCTGATCACCCAGATACTGGAACACTCATAATCACCAGCTGCTTTTACAAGAGTGTGACTGTTTTAAGAGAAGATGCGGTTTCTGGGGAGACTACGCCAAGAAAGACGGCGTCCCCATCCTCGCAGGCAGCAGCCCTTTCCAGAGAGGAGCTGCAGGGACAGTGCTGGAGGTGCAAATCCATGCGAGTGTCCTGGCAAAGCTGTCGGGAACCGCTGCAGAGCCCGGCAGCAGGGATGGATCCGCTGCAGGGAGCAGCTCCTGCCCTCGACACAAGTTTCCAGCAGAGAGACAGGGATTCAGCAGCAACAGGGACCCCAAGGGGCCTTTTCGTCCCGGCAGCTGCCGGGGGCCACTTGTCCCCACGGCCTGTCCAGCCCCTCCACACATACAGGGACCCCGCGCTCAGGACCAAGCTGCTCAGCAGCGATCCCGACGGAAAGATCCCTTCCTGTCCAAGGAAGAGTTAAATCTTGGTATCTCCCACCAGCAGCAGAGTCCAAGCGCTAAACAGACAGACATCTGCAGTGAGGACAGACAGGCCAAAAAAGGTTTGCTAAAATGCTGCCAGAATCCCAGCGCCGGGCAGGAGCCAAGCAGCAGCACAGGGCGCTCTGAGGGAGCCTGCTGCCCCGTAGCCAGTCGGCTCCGAATTCCCGGCCTCGGGAAGCGCCGGCACTTGGTCCTGGCCGGGTGGCCACCGCGCTGGCTCCTCCACAGCAGACCCCGCACGGCGCTCTCCTCCCCACAAACCTCCCGTGGGACAGAGGTGCCCTTGGCCGGTGCTCTGTCGAAGCCCAGCCCGGGAATCACTGCGCCCACGTCCCAACTCTTGTAAAATAGGAGGCAAAAGCCAGCCCTCCTTCCCCCCACACAAGAGAGGGAACAAGAGATCCGGACCACGTTCCTGTGCACACGTGAGCACTGCACCAGGCCCTGCAGAGCCAGATCCCTTCGGAGAGGCGAGGCAGAGCTGCCAGAGCGGCCCGGGAGCCGCGGGAGGAGGCAGCGCCGGGCTCCTGCCCGCGGACACCGCCTCCCAGCACGCGGGACGTTCGCGTGTTGCCATCGGGGCCCTTTGACTGCTCTGATGGTCCCTCGGAGCACAGAGGGCAGCAGGAGCTGGGGGACTATGGGCATCGCAGGTAGTTCAGCTGCTGACCCCCGTTGGGGGAACCCACCCTGGCCATTCAACCCCTCAGGGACGCCGCTCCTGCCCGAATCCGCGCGGCTGCCCCATGGGCCAGGTGGTAAACGGCTTCACTTCCTTAGCGAAACGATCCCCAACAAGGAACAAAAGCAGGTGCCCGCTCGGCAGCCTCCTGCAGGCTGCTCGGCCTGCACAGGAGCAGTCGGCTCCGCGGGGCGGCCGTGGTCACCGCGGCACTGCTGGCAGCAGCGCAGGCAGATGGCACCGAAGCCGGGACCAGGACCCGGCCTGGGGGATTCTCAGGAGTTCAGGGACTGGCGGGCGGCTGGCACCTGACGCACAGGACAGGGCTTGGCGGGCAGGAAGCTGCTGAAATCACCGCTCTGGAGCGTGGCAGCCGCCCCGTCTCCCTCCCACGCTGGGGCGGAGGCGGAGGATCCACCTGGATTCCTCCTCGGAGAACTTGGGCAGCTCCGCACAGACCCGGTGCATCCAGCACTGCTCCCAGGAAAAGGGAAGGACAAAGTCCCACCTCGCCACCCTTGGCAGCGCCAGGAAAACTGCCCTATCGGATGCTCTGAGGAGTTTTACCGCAAGCAAGGTCCCCATAGGGAAAGGAAGGAAGCGTGTCCTTACTGAACCTGCTGGCTGTGTTCAGATCCAGGCAAATGCTTCATCCTCCTGTTTTCAGCATATTCCGTATATTCTGTTCAAGGGGAGACTTGAAAAGGCAATGGGAAAGCACTCAGCATGGAGCACACCGGAACAGAGAAAGCACGAGGACGAGCAACAGCCTGAGCAGCCTTGCAGCATCACTGGGCGCAGGACCGGGCACTACCGCAGGTGCAGAGCGCAGCGGGACAGACACCTCAGGGACAGACACCTCGGACCTCGCGGTCCTGCAGGAACTGCCTCGTGCCCCCGTGCACGGCACCGGGCAAGGGCAGCGCCGGCAGCAACACGAGGCCATCACGGGTCCCTCCCGCTCTGCCAAGAGCTCCCGGGACGGTGCCGGCTGCTCCTCCCCAGCACAGCCCCAGCGCCTGCACGGTGCCCAGGAGCCCGGTCCCGAGCTCGCTGCGGGCAGCGGCAGCATTTTTGATAGAAGAGAGAAAAAGAGACAGCGGGGCAGTCTTATCTCGGAGGCAGCTTCCCGCGGGGCAGGACTCGCGCTCTTGGGGACACGGTGACAGTGCTTCGTGCTGGGGACGCTCTCAGGGCAGGCGTGGGGGAAAGGCCCTTGGGCAAAGCGCGGTGCCTGGGGGCAACACCCCCAACAAAGGTGCCAGGAGAGCTGCCAAGGGCCAGGCCCTGCGCACGGGGCAGCCCGTGAGCGTCGGCCGCGCGTCCCGCTCCTCCCGCCCGGCCACCGGTGCCGTCCCACGGGCGGCAGAGCAGGGCCCCGTGCCGGGGCAGCGCGGGGGGACATGGGGCGGCCTGGGGACATTTCCTGAGGGCCCTGGCCACGCGTTGGACGGTAAGAGACACGAGCTCCTCTTCCTCTTTACACTTCCTCCACAGCGCTGGCACATCGGGGAAATGCTATTGCCCAAGCGGAGAAGCCCCGCGCTGGTGCAACACGGCAGGGCAGGGGAATGGACTCACACAGCCACTGCGGGGGAAAAGCCCTTCGAGAGCGAGCCCAGCCACAAACCACCCCGCTAGACCTGGTCCCCCCGCGCCCCGTCCGCACGCTTGCGGAGCAGCGCCAGGGAGGCGACGCCGGCACCTCCCCGGGCAGCCTGCCCCAGCGTCTGGCCGCTCCTCCCGCGCACAAACCCTCGCTAAGCCCAGCCTAGAGCCCAGCGGTGCCGAGCGCGGGCAGCCTGCGCGCCGTGGCCTGGCGGGGCTGGGCGGGGGGGCCGCGCAAGGGCCTCCCGGGCGCGGGGCCCGGCGCGGGGCC